GAATGCACTATCAAAAGAGGTTGTTGTTGAAGCACTTGAAGTATGAGAAGAATGATGACTCGTAAATGTTGAAGATCTAGAAGTTGAAATCCTTGCAATTCCATGTCTAGCAGATGATGTGATTAATGTCCCTATAATTGAATGTTCTTTAAAAATAGTATTTAATGTGCTCTTGACAATAGCAATCTTCTCAGAAGAAGTGACATGATTAATTTTTGCATAACAATATTTGATGATATTCAACTTCCATCTTGGATCAAAAATCACAGCAAGTGCAAGAAGACATTGTAATTTTGCCAATACTTGTCAAACTTTTCTTTCATTCTTTTTTATATCTCTCTAATCATATCATCAATGCTCTTCACATTTGTATCAAGCAACATTTCAATTTTTGATCCTTGCATAAAATAAGAGTTGGCAGTCGGATAAGATAACTTATAAATCAACCTTGTTATCTTTTTAAAAGGTCTCAAAAAATTACACATTGCTTCTGTCCTATTCCACTCATTTGTCAGATTATAACACAATAGGTAATTTGAATATGATAAAGCAAAGTTTACAAAAGCACGATGGTATTTAAGTACACTCTCAAGCATTGCATAAGTAGAGTTCCATCTAGTGAGCACATCTAATCGCAAGCTCGTAGATGCCACCAACTTGCTCAACAATCATCCTTGCCTCAGAAGCCTTCAATCATTTAATGCTCTCTTTAATCTTCCACATAACAGTACTTGTCACTTTTAAACCTTCCTAAAATATCAAGTTAAGGATGTGGGTACAATATCTTATATGAAAAAATTCACCATTACAAATCAAGCTAAAGTTTTCTTGCAAAAGTAATTTTTCCTTCAGCAAGTCTTGCATGTTATCATTTGCAGATGCATTATCTAAAGTAATTGAAAATACTTTATTCTCAATCCCCCATTCTTTCAATCAATCATACACTTTTTTAGACAATAGTACTCCAGAATATGGAGGCTCTATCTTGCAAAATGAAAGTATCTTGCTATTTAGAATCCACTTTTCATCCACAAAATAAGCTGTCAAGCATATATATCCTCTAGAAGCCACTGAAGTCCAACAGTCAGGAGTCAAACATATTTCTACTCATACTTTTTTAAAATTTTTCTTTCAAATTGTCCTTTTGATGGTGGAAGAACTTCATAACATCAGCCACAATTGTTTTTCTAGTCATGAGCCTTACATTAGGATTCAACATCCTAAGTAGTTCTCTAATCTATCTATATTCAACAAATGAATAAGGAAGACCATGTTCAATTATGACCATAGTCATAACCTCCCTAACATGATTATGATCAAGTTTTCTAGACCTAATATTGCCTTCATTGTCCATCATCATCACCCTAGTATCATGGAATTTGTCTAGACCTTTACAAGACTTAATATGGCGATTTAAATGTGAAGTGCCTTTAGCTCCACCCGATGCATATAGACTATCACAACCATTATACTTTGCCTTCATTACCCCGTCGACCTGAACTCTACTAAGATACTTCCAAACATCAGACATCAAAGTTCTAGCTTTTAGACTTTGACTCTTTGGTCTCTTGAAGAGAAGATGACTGACCTTTGGGATTTACAGCTAATGATGCATTAGTCCCTTGAGCTTTCTCTTGTTGCAAGGAAGACATGATGCTACCAAATAATCACAAAAAAGAAATACAAGTTAAGACCAAAAATAAAGCCACGATGAAAATGGCTAACAGCCTAGCACGCAGTATTGGTGTATCAAACTTACTCAAAATCTTATATTTGAACTACTTGAAAGGCAATGAATGAACAGCAATCAACATCAGAAATGATTTTTGTTAGAAAAATCATGCAATTGATTGTTAATCCAGGAGAAGCAAAAAAAACATAGTTTAAAATACCAAGAATCAACACACAAGCATGGTGACAGCAAGGGGAGAGGTGGTCTAGTTGCTACCGGATGTCTAGAGTCTGGAGAAACTCACTCAAGGCAAGAGACACGCTGTACGCTGGTGAAGCTGCTGCTCAAGTTGACTGTCATAGATGTAGGGAAAGTAGAGATGAAACTTAAGAGGGTAAGACGAGATCAAGCGGCTGTGGCCAAGAGGGAGACAGCGGACTCATGGTCATGGGTGGTTGATGCTGGCCACTGAACGCTAGTCAATAGCTTGACGTCGTTACTAACAAGGAGATGCTAAGAAGCTGCTGCCCACTGCTCAAGTTGACTAATGACTGATACTGAAGCAAGGGAAGCTGAAGCACCAAAGCATAGGTGAAATGCGAGCTGGGTAGGCGAGATCGGAGACGGAGAGGCCACGATGGTGACTGCTTGATTGCTGGCCGACGGCGACACGATTGCAGGAGATTGAGGGGTGAGCTGAGAGTGATGACATTAAGATCTTAAAAAAATATACTTTTAGCCCTTCAATCCTAAAATTTTTTAAAAAATAATGACATTAAAATCTTAAATGTTGGTAAAATATTATCAAATGCTAACATATTAAATTTAATTTTCAAAATATCCATGATTGCTACAAAAAAAATCATCATTAAAGTCTAATGATTTTAAGGTTAAAGAACCAAATATTTGCTTTTTAAAGTTGAAAGATCAAATTAAAATCTTGTATAAAGTTAAAAGACTAAACGTATAGTTTAGCCTTGTTTTTAAAATCAACTTTGGTGAGTGCCAAGCATAATAAAATTAGAGAATGACAAATGCTTATACTGTCAGGCGTTGAAGGAAGGCACGTTGTCCGGCAACCCACGACCTTGCTCCTTGACGTAGTCCACAAGGTTGGCTTGCAGGCAGGATAAAGAAACAAAGGTGGTGAATCAATCAGCCATGAATGATGAGGGTTTTTGGTTATTGGGGCTGGAGTGTTTGATTTGGCTTTTTAGAAATCATTTTACAATATTCAAAGTACTACTTTATGTGATAGAAGTTTTATTTTGATTTATGTAAAAGTATATTTTTTTTAAGTGTTTTTAATATATTTCAAACACCTCCTAAAGAGATAATGAACAATAAATGGGAGGAGTATTTGAGTAATGGTTCTTAATTGGTAACTATGGCCGGAGAGGTACTTATCCTCTCTTTTTTCCCTCCCTCTTCCTTCTTTTTCTCTTTTTATAATCATTAAGCTAATATTTGAATGGTTGTAATCTTTTATAAAATTATTATTAAAATGTTAAATTTTAAATTAAAAATAATTAATTAAATTTAAATGGCTAAATTTGGACATGAATTATGCAATAGTGCTGCAATAAAAAACAAAAAATAATATTTTGTATAAAATTAAATCCAGACCATTCCACCGCGGCGTTTTTTTTCTGTTCACCTTATTTCGGAGACCCCAAAGAATCCTCCTCCTCCATCACTCTTTTTTTTTTTTTTTTAAGTTCTCCTGATTTTTATTCTCATATAAGCCTCCCATGCCTCACATTTCAACTATATATATTCCTCTGGTCCTACACAGAGAGGGGGGAGAAATTCTTTAAGATTTTCCCCTCATACCGAGTTTTCCGCTGTTGTTTTCTCAAGAACAAGAAGGAGGTTTTAGATTGTCTTGGATTTTGTCCTCAAATTATAGAATGTTCTGGGCTTGGGTATAAGCTCGCAGAATGCTGCAGAGAATCATAATTTGCTTTAGGAACATGCCACGGGTGGTAACCTTGCTTACTATGTAAAAAAGGGTAGGTACTTATCAAAGTGATATGTCCAATCTAGATTTGATACTTTTAGTTAATTAGTTTTAAATAATTTTTTCAGGGACCAAAAAGATGATTGAGGGTTATTTTTATTCTGGAGTGTTTGGGTCATTTTTTTAGTTAATTAGTTTTAATTGTCATTGAAAGTCTTTAATAAGCGTATCACATCAAAATATTAAAAACGATTAAAGGAAACAACAAAAAGCGCTGAGCAAATTTTTTTTTTTTTTAAAAAGAGCCCCCCATCAACTTCCGCGTCTTGGTAACAAAAAAAGAGAGGGTGATTAAGAATTTAAAAAAAAATAAATCAAAACTATGAGAAAGTTTAATTAAAAAGTTTCCATCGTTTTACTTTACACATGTTGAAATTTAACCTGCCAATCCGTCACTGTTTACTTTGGAACAAAGTCTTAAAGCAAAAGCAAATAGAGAAGAAATTAAAGCGTTCGTTCTCTGCGAGTCTCACGAGATTCTCGAGCAAGATGAGTTACGAAGCAAATAAAATGATCATGTCGTCTGTTAGTTTGCTTAGCTAAATTTTTTGAAATCCTTTTTGAAATCCCCATAAAGGTTCTTCATGAAATTTCTTCTATCTAACATTGTTAATAATAATAATAAAATTAAAATTATATTTAAATAATGATAAATAATTATCAGAATTATATTAAATTATGTTCTTCTTATTCAATCTTCTTGCTTCTTGATGATACATATTTATAAGTGATTTTAATAAATGAAATGTAAACATGATCAACATTTTCAAAATCACTTATAAAAAAAAATGTAAACAGAAATTACGGTTTAATGATCATCGCCACTTTCAACAAATATCATCCATAAAAATCATGATTACCTAAAATCACAATTATTTACTACTAATCCGATCAGTGCCTAAATCTCTTTAACGGAATGTTTAGATGAAAACAAAATTATGGTTTTAAAATGTTTTTACGGTATATGAAATAAATATAAAAGAGTTTATTTCGATTTATAAAAAATTATTTTTGAAAATCATTTTTCTCCTAATCAAACACCCCTTAAATCTCAAGTTTCGATCCAACCTATTTAAAAATTTGTATTTTATAAAAAAAAATACAGAGATAATAATTAATTATTATCATTATTGAAAAAGAACACGAAGAATTGCTTTTGCTCTTTGAAATTTCGAAGCATCGTCTTCGTCTCCTTAATCGGTACTCTTTCTCACACCGTCTTTCTCCTTCTTTCAGAGTCTTCCTCACACACACGCACACACACTCACTCTTGACTCCCACATTCAGAACAATTTCTTCTTCTAGGGTTTCTGCTTCGTTCATCTATGCCATGAAGAAGGCCTACCGACCCATTCACCATACGGGTTTCCCGCGAAACCCGGAATTCCATCGAAATTCTCACCCTCCCTCCAATTTTCGTCCCCGCTGGAAACCAGAATTTCGCCCCAATCAACGCCTGGACCGTCCACTGGAAACCTTTTCTCATGCCCGTCGACCTAATTTCGTCGTTCTGCTCCGCTCTGGCCGCCGCGATTTCACCAGGGCGGATGTCGAGGTCTTGATCACAAAATGCAAGTCCAAGCCCGAGAATTTTAGTGTTTTCCCCGGTGATCATGTTGCCGCCCGCCTAAACTTTTTTCAGTGGTGCGACGCGCTTGAGGCCTTTGTTTTCTTTTGGGAGTTTTGCCTCAATGAAGTTCATGAATTTATTCCGGAGCTCAAATCGCATGTTCTCGTACCTTCTGACATGGACGAGCTACGTGACCGACTTCGGTCCCTTTTCGCTGGTCATGTCAAGGGCTTAATGGAAGGCAAGGAAGTCAAAAGATGGCGTGAGGAAAGTGAGCGTGCCTCGAAGGAACTTGCGCGTTTAATGTATTTACTCCAAAAGCCGAATTCAATCGGCTCGTGGGAGGAGCTCCAAGAAAAGACAAAAGGGATACATTCAGAGAAAAAATTGATTGAAAGGAGAATAAAGGAGTTTCAGTCTGCCATGGAGTGTATATTGCGGTATCTCGAGAACAGCGAGGAGGATGAGGGTGGTATCTCTGTTTTCCGAAAATTGAAGTTTGATGAAACTTCGGATTGGAAGCGTATACATAGGATGATAATGCGGGAGCGTCGCAGACTTGAGGAGGGATTACCCATTTATGCTTACCGGATGGATATTCTTGAGGAAATACATTCTCAACAGGTACCTTATACGTACGTTTAAAAATATCGTAATTTCTTTTGAATTTGGTCAGTGGCTCGCTTTATCCAGCTGCTTGATTCTGAATATGCATACTGGGAATGCTTGAATTCTTATCTCTATGGAGGGCGTTTCGTTCATGCTATCACTTTAACTTGAAATCTGGTTTTTTAAGAGTTTTCAATTTGAGCCCACCTTGTTTATTGTTGACCGAAGAGGATTGTCATGTAGGAGCTTGAGTCCAACGGACCCAGCTTCCTTTTTTTTTTTTTTTTTTTTTTTGGGGGGGGGGGATTAGTGGAGCTCTGATCTTATCAGTGTCGCTATTAGGAATTGGTTCTCCTTCTAAACAAGAAACCATAACTTTCTTTTTTTCTCGTTTATTTGATATTGCTTTGACTGTTCTTCTAACTAGTATATATGCACACAGATAATGGTCTTAGTTGGGGAGACTGGCTCTGGTAAGAGTACGCAGTTGGTACAGTTTCTTGTTGATTCAGGCATAGGTGCTAATGAATCCATTGTATGCACTCAGCCTCGAAAAATTGCTGCCAGGTCATTGGCACTGAGGGTACGGGAAGAAAGTAGTGGATGCTATGGAGACAATTCAATCAAGTTTTATCCGACATTTTCATCCTCAAATGAGTTCAATTCTGGAATAATATTCATGACAGACAACTGTCTATTGCAGCAGTACATGAGTGATGATAATTTGTCTGGGATCTCATGCCTCATAATCGATGAGGCTCATGAAAGGAGCCTAAATACAGATCTACTGCTGGCATTGGTAAAGAGTTTGCTCTGTAGGAGGGTTGAAATGCGGCTCATCATTATGTCTGCTACAGCTGATGCAAAGCAGCTATCTGATTACTTTTATGGTTGCGGAATATTTCATGTGGTAGGGAGAAACTTTCCAGTCGATGTGAGATATGTTCCTTCTGCTTATGAGGGACACCTTGGTCCTACCATTGTTGCCTCATATGTTTCTGATGTAGTGAGAATGGCTACTGAAATTCACAGAACAGAGAAAGAGGGAACAGTTCTTGCCTTTTTGACCTCACAGATGGAGGTAGAATGGGCTTGTGAAAAGTTTGAAGCTCTCTCTGCTGTAGCATTGCCCTTACATGGCAAGCTTTCACCTGAAGAGCAGTTATGTGTTTTCCAGAACGTCCCTGGAAAAAGAAAGGTGATATTTGCAACTAATCTTGCGGAGACATCGCTCACAATTCCTGGTGTGAGGTATGTCATAGATCCTGGGTTGGTTAAAGATAGTCGATATGAGCCTGGCAGTGGAATGAGTGTCCTTAAAGTTTGCCGGATCAGCCAAAGCTCTGCTAATCAACGGGCTGGTCGTGCTGGGAGGACTGAGCCTGGTAGATGTTATAGGCTCTACTCAGAACTTGATTATGATTCTATGGCACCAAATCAAGAACCTGAGATTCGACGAGTTCATCTTGGTGTAGCAGTGTTGAGAATTCTTGCCTTGGGAGTGAAGAATGTGCAGGATTTTGATTTTGTTGATGCTCCAAGTCCTAGCTCTATTGAGATGGCAATTAGGAATCTAATTCAATTAGGAGCAATTAGATTGAACAATAATAATTATGAATTAACTGAAGAAGGCAGTACTTGGTAAAAATGGGTGTTGAGCCTCGGCTTGGTAAACTTATTCTTGGCTGTTACCAGTATGGTTTGGTCAAAGAAGGTCTTACCCTTGCAGCCGTGATGGCCAATGCCAGTAGCATTTTTTGCAGAGTAGGTAATGAAGATGATAAACACAGATCTGATTGTCGCAAGGTGCAATTTTGCCATTGTGATGGTGACCTCTTTACTCTTCTATCTGTATATAAGGAATGGGAAGCTTTGCCCCGAGAGAGGAGAAACAAATGGTGTTGGGAAAACAGTATTAATGCCAAGTCCATGAGGAGATGTCAAGACACCATTAAGGATTTGGAATCTTGCCTTGAGTATGAACTTGATGTTGTTGCTCCAAGCTACTGGCGATGGGATCCTTACAACTCTTCTGATTGTGATCGGTATCTGAAAAGGGTTATACTGTCCTCACTTTCTGAGAATGTTGCCATGTACTCTGGATGCCATCAACTTGGTTATGAAGTGGCATTGACTGGGCAGCTTGTTCAACTGCATCCATCTTGTTCGTTGCTAGTATTCACTGAGAAACCTAGCTGGGTAGTTTTTGGTGAGATACTCTCTGCTTCAAATCAATATTTGGTCTGTGTGAGTTCTTTTGACTTTGAATCATTGTGCAGCATTGGCCCTCCCCTTTTGTTTGATGTATTTCGGATGGAAAGAAAGAAGTTGCAAATGAAGATGTGGACTGGTCTTGGCTGTATTCTGCTTAAGAGATTTTGTGGAAAGGGAAACTGTAATCTGCTTGGTCTTGTGTCACGCATAAGGACAGCTTGCATGGATGAACGTATCTTCATTGATGTTAACGTTGACCAGAATGAAGTTCATCTTTATGCCTCCCCATCTGACATGGAATTGGCTATTGCGATGGTTAATGAAGCTCTGGAATATGAGAGAAAATGGCTGCGTACTGAATGCTTGGAGAAATGTTTGTATCATGGGTCTGGAGTCTCATCTCCAGTAGCTCTGTTTGGATCTGGTGCCGAGATAAAGCATTTGGAAGTTGAAAACCAGTGCTTGAGTGTTGATGTATGCCATCCAAATATAAGTGCATTTAATGATAAGGATCTTTTGATGTTCCTTGAAAAGAATTCCTCAGGTTGTATCTGTGCTGTGCACAAGTTTACAAATGTAGTACAGGAAGTTGAAGATAGAGAGAAGTGGGGCAGGATATCGTTTCTCTCCCCTGATGCGGCTAAAAGAGCTACTGAGCTAGATGGAGTGGATTTTCATGGTTCATCCCTGAGAATATTTCATTCACAGGCTACTAACGGAGGGGATAAAACATTTCCATTCCCTGCTGTTAAAGCCAAATTGTGTTGGCCTCGTAGACCTAGCAAGGGTTTTGGTATTCTTAAATGTGAAATAAAGGATGTTAATTTAATTTTAAAAGATTTCTATAACCTTGTAATAGGAGGGAGGTATGTTCGTTGTGAAGCTGGCAGAAGGGGCTTGGATAGTATTGTGATTGGCGGACTTCATAAAGAACTCTCAGAAGCTGAAATTTTAGATGTACTAAGAACTGCTACAAGTAGGAGGATTCTGGATTTTTTCTTGGTGAGAGGAGATGCTGGTGAGAATCCCTCATGGAATGCTTGTGAGGAGGCGCTTGTAAAAGAAATTTCTCCTTTTATGCCTAAAAGGCACCCCCACACGACTTCTTGCTGTGTTCAGGTGTATCCACCTGAGCCAAAGGATGCCTTCACGAGAGCTTTGGTCACTTTTGATGGAAGATTACATTTGGAGGCAGCAAAGGCTTTGGAGCAAATTGAAGGGAAGGTATTGCCTGGATGTCTTCCTTGGCAGAAGATAAAGTGCCAGCAGTTGTTTCATAGCTCCTTGACATTCCCCGTTCCTGTTTATCGTGTGATTAAGGAACCACTGGATAAGTTACTTGCTAGCTTCGCCTGTATAAAGGGTACTTTATCACTTGTAACTCCTAATTTTTTCCCCTTAAATTTCATATATCTGTTCCTTCTATACCAAATCTACATGGTTGCAATCCCTGGTTCACTTTTTGAGGCGAAGACTTATAATCTGATTATTGCTTAAGCTTATTCTTACCATTTTATTTGTGAATGTTATTCCCAGATTCTGATGAAAAGCATTTTTTTCTTCTTGTTATTTTGCTGAGATGCACTTGAGAATTTTGGGAAAAAGGAAGTGATTAATTCGTTTTTCTTATGGGGTCCTTCTGCTCTTGTATTATTCTTTTAATAGTTGTGCCACTGGAAGTTATATTTGTATGAGATTTTACTAATCCCATTTCATTTTCCGTAACTGAGTCTCATGAGACTCTAATGTGAGGCATATTGTAGTATATGGTTGATAAAATTATAGCAAAAGAAAATGGAAGTTGTATAAGGAAAAAATTGTACACTCTTGCAGTTTTTATTTTTCTAAGCCTCACATGGATTGTTGGAAGACTGTTTACGCAGTCAAATCATTTAAATCTACTGCACATTTAAATATATTTCTTACTGTGATATGAGTGCTAACATGTATTTCTATGATTAAAGGTCTTGAGTGGAACCTAGACATGACTGCTAATGGTTCCTACCGCATCAAAATAACAGCTAATGCCACAAAGACAGTGGCAGAGGTGAGGAGACATCTTGAAGAACTCACAAGGGGGAAAACAATTGTCCACAAGAGTCTTTCCCTTCCGGTTCTACAACTGCTATTGTCCAGAGATGGCATTAATTTTAAAAGCTCAGTACAGCAAGAGACAGAAACATACATTCTTTTTGACCGGCACAACCTGACTTTGCGGGTGTTTGGTTCCCCAAAGAAGGTTGAACTGGCCCAGCAGAAGCTAATTCAATCCTTACTCGCTCTCCACGAAAGGAAGCAGTTAAAAGTCCACCTCCGAGGGAGAGGTCTACCTCCTGATTTGATGAAGCAAGTGGTTAAGAACTTTGGGCCAGATCTCCATGGGCTGAAAGAGAAGATACCAGAGGCAGACTTTTCTCTCAACACACGTCGCCAGATAATCTATCTTCGTGGTAAAATGGAGTTGAAACCAAAAGTAGAGGAATTAATACATGAGATTGCCAGTTCAAGTAGTCATTTGGCTGAGAGACCTGGGACTGGATTGGACTGCCCAATTTGCTTGTGTGAGGTGGAGGATGGTTGTCAGCTTGAAAACTGTGCTCATTTGTTCTGTCGGATGTGTCTGGTGGAGCAATGTGAATCAGCTATAAGAAACCGGGGTAATTTCCCGATACGCTGCAGTCATGCGGGCTGTGGGGATCCCATTCTGCTTGTGGATTTGAAAGCTCTTTTATCTAACGATAAGTTAGAGGAACTTTTTAGAGCCTCTTTGGGAGCTTTTGTAGCTGCTAGTGAGGGCGCATACAGGTTTTGTCCATCTCCTGATTGTCCCTCCATTTATCGAGTAGCTAGTCCTGAGGCAGCAGGCGAGCCATTTGTTTGTGGAGCATGTTATGCCGAGACATGTACGAGGTGTCACTTGGAGTATCATCCATACATTTCATGTGAGAGGTACAAGGAGTTCAAGGAGGATCCAGACTCATCTCTCAAGGAGTGGTGCAAGGGGAAAGAACATGTCAAGACCTGCCCTGCGTGTGGCTATACAATCGAGAAGGTAGATGGGTGCAACCACATTGAGTGCAAGTGTGGGAAGCATGTCTGCTGGTTTTGCCTGGATTTCTTTGGAACCAGTGATGATTGTTATGACCATTTGAGAACTGTACACATGGCCATCATATAAATTGGCCTTTGCTTTCTCAATCTCCTTACAAAGCTGATTTAGTCATGTACATAATACGTAGGCTGAGGTAAAGTGTATAGCTTTAAGCTCCTGTATAGTGTATATGGGTTTTAACTCTTGTGTACAGCTTGTTTCAACGCTTACTCGCATCCTCACGTTTGAAGAATGCTTTTCCCTTTTACTTTCCTACAACTTTGCATATATGTATGTTGCTTTGTGGTAAACCAGGTGATCCCCAAAGAACATCTGCATCTACAACATCATGGTACAAATGGTTTGTCCTGATTGGGTTGCTCTGAGGAAAATATGTGGCTTTGCGAGCATGGGCCATTCAGTCTGTCACTCTCTTGAATGAGTGGTCTATTTTCTCCCCACCTCAGGAAATTGACTCCACCAACCAACCATTACCAACTATTCACCCCCTGTGCAAAAACTTTTTCCCCTTCTGAGATGTTAGTCTATAGACCCTATACTCTGTCAAGATTTCTCTGACCAGTCATGCAAGTTTATTGTTGAATTGTACAGTAACCAAATTTGGTTTGGTACCCCCTAACATCCATAGACATTCACATGTTAACTGATTCATGGTATGTGAAAAAATGATTTTGAATGATAGGTTTTTTTTTTTTTCCTCCTTCAAAGGCTGTTCAATCTAACTTTCTCAAACTGCTTTTGCTACCCAAAATCTTAGTTTCTAGGTCATTAATCACTTACTGATTTTTTTTTTTGGTGGTTAAGCGAAATGGCACAAAACCTTGGCTTAATATTGGTTTTGTTTGAAAAAATGATTTTGGAGTATGGAAAACATCAAACCGGTTGGTCAGGGACATGAGGTGAACCATAATGGGCAAAACCAATTTAAACATAGTTATTTATTTATTTTTTAATTTTTTTAAACTTTTCTTAAAATTAAGTTTTTATTTTTTATTTCCCAAGCTATGGTTTATGTAGATTTACATCTAATTAAAAATGAAGACTAACAAACAATGATTGTTAAAATATATTGCTTAAATATATGTACTTTTAGTCTTTTAATTTTGCACAAAGTTTTAATTAATCTTTTAGTTTTAAAAAGTATATATTTAGTCCTTTAATTCTCAAATTAAAAAAAAATGATGATCTTGAGATTTTCAATGTTGATAAAATGTTTTCAAATATTAATATATTAAGTTTAATTTTTAAAACAATCATAATTATTACCAAAATTCATCATTCAAGACTAATGATTTTAGGGTTAAAAGACTGAAAATATATTTTTTCAAGTTAATGTGCAAACAGAAAACTTGATCAAGGGCCAAATATATTTTAGCGCCATAAATCTATTACTCCTTCAGTCCTATTTATACGGCAGAAAGAGAATATATTTTTTGTCCTATTTATAGGGCATTAAGAGACATTTTTTGTGTGGATGTATAATTTTATCATTCATTTATTATTATATTGACTTTGTTTATATAAGGTATAATGTATATCAAATAGGGATAAGGTTGAAAAATTGTTGAATTTTAAATAAAAATTAATGAAGTTTAAAGTTTTTTTTGTCTTTATGAAACATATGGAAAGTGACTTATAAATAAAATTAGAGGAGTATAAAATTATAGTTTACAAGTATATGCCTTGTAGACAATTGAAATTACTCATTTGAATCTTAATATAAGACTTATTTAATTAATTTGATTGGATTAATAAAATTAGATAAGTTAGTTAATTATAATAAATATACCTCATAGATATTTTAAATCATGTAATATTTCAATCCTATTGTTTATGGTTTTTTTTTTGTTATTATTTATTCTCCCTTGTATAAAATATTTCACGGTTTAGTTGCGAACCAAGATACTCTTCTGATTCTATTTATAACTCACTTTTAACATGTTTCACAAGATCAAAGAAAACTTTAAATTTCATTAATTCTTATTTTAAATTCAACAATTTATCCTTGTTTAATATATATTATGTCTTACGTAAACAAAGTTAACATAATAATTAATGAAGGGTAAAATAATATATTCATACAAAAAATTTCTTTTAGTATTTTATGATAAAAAAATATTCTCTCTTTCTGCTTTATAAATAAGATTAGAGGAGTAATGGGAAATCAGATATCTTACCTCGCTATATGAATGACCAATTAGAACCCATCTTGTTGTGGTGCAACGTGAAATTGGTAAGATACGATGAAAGGATTTGGAAATTGTGGATCCTTTATGGTTGATGGAACTAAAGGGAAAGGTGAAAATTAACGCGTAAACGACTCCATTAAGGTCCATTGACTGGGATTGTAGCTGTGGAAAAAGAGACTCCCAATTCCAATTGGAACTCATCTTAGTCTTCTCACGCAAGAAGAATTCAGCCATGAAAGCGACCCAAGTAATGCCCCCTAGTTACTTGTCCACACGCTCTCCTCCTTAATCCCTATCAATATCACTTTTTTTAAAAAAAAATTTATAAGTCATTTATAAAAAAAAATTTGTTACTAAATATAAGTCACTTATAATTAGTGAATTTTTTTTTCAATTTTACCTTGGTTGATCTAAACAAACAAATATAAAACATATTTTTAATATTTTTTTAATAAGGATAAATGTAAAAACAATTATCAATTTAATATATTTATTGTTGGGCACTTGTAAATAGAAACAAGTGCTATCAATCAAGGATTTATCAAACAAGCTTCCAATAAATTTCCATATTCCCCCGAATTTTTTTTTTTTGGAATGTAGTGTAACGGGTTCACATTGTTTTTGAGCAAAATAATGGGTTCATTGTCACCCAAAAAAAAATATAATGGGTTCATATTTATTTTTCCCCTTCACTGCAAAAGTTCAATTTTTCTCACTGATCGTCTCTTCCTCTTCCTCTGTTTCCTGTAACTGCGCCATTTACACCATTCAACTGTACTTCCATGGCTTGTGGAAGAAAATGCAGTCCATTTCCTTCCCCTCTTCAATCGCCGGATCCGCTCTCGCAGTCCCATGGGCCATTCTTGTCCGTCGAAGTTGGTCATAACCTTGGTCAAATTCATGTTCTTCAAGTCGTGATGGCCGCCGTGGCTTCCATATTTGGTATGCTTCTCCTTTTTTTCGTTGTGCTAAAATTTTTGGGAAGGTACTTTTCGAGGAGATATTACAATAGGAGAAACAACCCACCGATACTGTTTGATATTCGCGGAGATTCCGCGTTCTCTGATGACGATGGACCGCCGATTATGCATCCGATCTGGTTCATCAACACCGTCGGTCTCCAACAATCCGTTATAGATTCAATCGCAGTCTTCAAATACAGAAAAGACGATGGATTAGTGGAAGGAACAGAGTGCTCTGTATGTTTAGGTGAGTTTCAAGAAGACGAGAGCCTCCGTCTGTTACCTAAATGCAGCCACGCTTTTCACGCTCAGTGCATAGATACGTGGTTGAGATCGCGTAAGAATTGCCCCTTGTGTCGTGCTCCGATAGTTCGTGAGACTTCCGGAAGAGAGGTAAGCGCCGCCGTGACTGTGCCTGAACTCAACGTCGCCGGCGAGACCCGTGCGGAGAACTCGGATAGTAGTGGTGGGGTAGGCAGTTCTCAGGTTGGAGAAGGTGAGAGTAGTGAATTGAGGCTTGAAGATGGTGATTCTGGGATTGTGCCAGCTGCTGAAGAGGGAGCAGAAGGTGAAGTTTCAGATAAAAATTTGGGTAATTCTGAGAAGATGAGGAGAGTGAGTAGATCAGTTTCAGTACATTCTTATCCTTCTACGTTTGAAGCACCAAATCAGGAGCTGAATTCTTATTCTCTACACTCGTTTTAAGATTGGACGCTCCGGGATCTATCTTCTCCATGCCATATATATACCTCAATCATATACAGAAGGAGGAATTCAGAGTAGAGAGTACAGAGCCAGAGCTCAAGTATTTCTCCTCTGTTAAAGTACTATGCATGTATTGTGGATTGACCCACCAAATCCTTGAAATTCTGGGTCTTGCATAAAAGTTAGTTGGATGTTAGTTTGCCCAGCTTTTCCAGGTAGTTAGATATGTTCATGGCAAATTAATTCGTGTGTATGTAAGAATCTCTGCATTCCCTTCAGAACTCAGAGAGATGTTTCAGTTTTGCTTCGCTTTCTCAGAAGAGACCGTTAGTCATTGTACAGTTGAGTTCGGCTTAAACTCTTTCCATTAGTCTTCATTGCTCTTCCGCACTAAATGTTAGGTTTAAGTTCAATAATACTATTTTCAATCCTAATTATAAGATTCCGTTTGTAATACCGAAGTCTTATAATTAGGACCGGAAGTAGTAATTTTACCCATTAATGGTTGGAGCCTCTTGTATTAAAAAAAAGAAAAAAGAAAAAAGAAAAAAGGCTGAAGCCTCAACCACAACTAGATCTAGAGAGAAGTTGCGAGCATTATCTTCTTGAAGAACTTCCGTGCTAAGGTTAACACGGTTGATACTATAGGCTTAGTATTGACCTCTAATGCGATAAACAAAGTACCTCCTACAGGCGGGCAGTCGGAAAGAGATGTAATGAACAAGAATTGTTCAAGTTAGCATATTATAAGATTAACGGGCTAAAATAATCATGAGCAGTTACAATATAGGTTTCATTATTAATAAAAATGCTGATGTTGAAATTGTAATTTTAAATGTTGACAAAACAATCTAAAAAGTATTCTTCCGTTCTATAGTATAAAACCTAATAAAAGAGTTTATATGTAAGATCTATTTCATATATTTATCAAATTTTTTTTCAAAATTAACTCTATTGATATTTCCTTAACAATAATCAAGTAAGAGATAGAGTGAGAAAATTAAGTAGGATATTTAAAGTGTTTTAGAAGAAAAACATACCACATTAACTAATCTAATTAGCATCCTTAATTTATTCAAATTGGTTAACTATGTCTTACATTAACAACCGGATGAGTAATATTTTAGTGTGCACTTTCAAAATAACAATGCTTGTTACAAAAGAATTAAATAATTGAAAATGTACTTTATTTTTTAAAATTAAATAATCAAACCAAAACTTTGTATACAATTAGAGGACCAAGGTGTATTTTTACCCATATTAAATTTTAATGATGCATATTAATTTATATTTTCTTAAAAAAATTAATAAATCTCAATCATTAAGATCAATCCAAGAGACTATAATTACGGTGGTCTCTTTGCCAAGTGAAGACAGGCCACTTTCCTCATAGAACAGGCAATAACACCAAAGCATAGTCTTGCCTTCCCAAGTTGCACGCTAATTTGATAGGACGTCTTAATCTACTTAACGTGTCCAAGAGAGAAATTTAGTCAAGCATTAAAATTAATACTAAAGCCATATGAAAAATTGGTTCTTTTTCCTTTTTCCATTTCCCCCCCCTCCAACGATATTCTGTGGAAACATCACACAGAATAGCAATGGGAGATCCAATGTTGATAGTCAAAGCCATCTTTTATAAACCAATATGTAAATTCTCTTGACCACCTGGCCAATTATGAAATAAACCAGATAAAGAACAACCAAAAACCCAAAATACGACAGAGGTAGACCAGTGAGTCCCATGACTTCTCCAATGGGTGTGAATGGAAGAGCAATTCCAATGGAGGAAATCACAACGGTGGAACAAATCACAGGCCACGAAGCTATGTCCTGTACAAATGGAATTTTCTCAGTGCGTATCAAGTGGATAATCAGAGTCTGCATCAGCAACCCCTCAACAAACCAAGCTGAATGGCAAAACTTTTGATCCCCAAAAGCCTTGTAGTAGAAAAAAATAAACAAAAGAGTCCCAACATCACATACAGTGCACACAGGATTATTCCACAATATGAACATAGGCAATGCTCTTTCTGACCATTTCTTAGGAGTCTTCACATAATCTTCCTCCATCTTATCCCATGGAATAGCGATCTGTCCTACACTATACAGGAAATTCTGAGTAAGAAGCTGCCTTGAAGTCACAGGCTCAAATTTAAGCACCAAGGTTGCTATGAGCAGCGAAAGCACACTTCCTATGTTAGCAATAACTGATGTTTTGATGTATTTCATTGTGTTTCCAAAAGTGAGTCTACCGTGTTCTACTCCTGCCACAAGAACATTAAGATCTTTCTCAAGCAGTATAATATCTGCCATGTCCTTGGCAATCGCTACACCTGAGTCCACTGAGATGCTTACATTGGCGGCATCAAGGGCAAGTGAGTCGTTAATACCATCTCCCAGGAACCCAACAACGTGGTTTCCCATTGTCTGTAGGGACTGGACTACACGCAGTTTCTGAATCGGGGTTAGCCTAGCTAAGACTGTGGCCCTTTTGACGGTCTCATGGAAAGTTTCTTGGTCTAGCCTGTCTAGCTCAGGCCCTGTGATTACATGGGTAGTTCTGATGCCTACTTCCCTGCATACCCTCTTGGCTAAGGAAAGTGAGTCACCAGTCAAAACTTTTGCTTTGACTCCTTTCTCTGCTAAGCGCCACAGTGCTTGTTCTGCCGAGTCCTTGGGAGGGTCATAGAACGTTATGACACCAAGGAAAACCATGTCCGTCTCAACATTTTCTTCGCTGCTCTTACTTCCGGTACTCGTTTCGCCCGTTTGCTGAAAAAAGATGGATAAACTGACATTGTCACAGAGGCAGAAGTAGTAAAGCATATGTTGAACGATTAAGATAACAAACTAGCTTGCCACACAAAATGCCGAACTAGCTATATCAATTAGGATATTACTTGTCTTATATGCCAAGATATTGTGCATGTGACTCCGGCCAATTTCAACATAATGTATGCAAGCCTTCTTTCAATTGTAGTTAATTCAAAATCCCAGATAAGGAACCACAAGCAGATGGTTGAATGGTAAGTAACTCAGTATTCCTTAGGCTAGGCATCATATTGGAAGAGCTTCTCCCTCATCAGGGCCCAACATGAAAACAAAATCCTGAGAATGAAACAAAATAACAATTAAGAGAATAGAAGACGCACCATTTCTAGCTTCTTTATAGCTACTCCTATAATTCTTAATCCTTCATCGCTCAATCCTTCCGCCAAGGATAAAATTCTGTTATAATCGTCTGCAGAGAACTTGGAAACTTCGTTGCTATTGAAGTTCTCAATGAAAGAACAAACTCTCATTACTTCCTCCAATGCCCCTTTAGTTACCATAAACCTGCCAGATAACTGAGACTGTCCGTCTTCAATACGCGACTCTGTTTCTACAATGACGGATACTCTTCTACGTATGAAATCAAAAGGGATCTCATCTATTTTCCTCCATTTTGAGGGCTGAAATCTGAATCCATTTGAATATACAAAAGCCAATATGGCATCATCCAGAGGATACTTCTGATCTGTCTTGAAGTAAGAATTGAAGAATGCAAAGCGTAGAACTTTCTCCTGCGTTATTCCCTGGCAGTCAAGATGATTTACCATAATGGCGCGGTTCATTGTCAGTGTACCTGTCTTGTCAATACATAGGATATCCCTGCAACAAAATAATTGAAGTACTTATCAAAAATTTTTGCTAATTTCCAACAAAATGAAACTGATGTAAACAAACTTACATGGATCCCATGTTGCGTATTGATGCTAAGCTTTTGACTATACATCGGTCTCGAGCCATGGCGAGTGCTCCTTTTGCAAGGCAAGTGTTGACGATGAGGGGGAGCATTTGAGGAGTGAGGGCAGATGCCACAGAGATGGCAAAAAGAATACTTGTGCTCAAATTATTTGATGTAGAGTAATCTGCTATAAATATGACTGTCACGACCACTAGCATAATAGACATAAGCACATAAAATATCCAGCGTAGACCATATTCAAATTCATCTGGTGGCTTCTTCTTCCCAATCTTTGAGAACATGGTGTTCATGTATGTATAAGATCCGGTAGATATAACTAGGCCAGTCCCATTTCCAGATACCACGTTTGTGCCCTGTAATAGTTGTGAACCAATCAGTTCTCACTCACAATCTGAAAAACTACTTTTGAATCCTTTTGTAATAGAAAATCTCAACATCAAAGGCCACAGAATACTTAGTAATGGAAAATCTGACTCAAATTTGGATCCTTTTGTCATTGACTGAAATCAATCAGTTTGCGTGGCATTAGACAAAATATCCAACTGCTTAAGATTGTTAATGGCTAAGTGGATATAAATGAGCTGTTGTTTCACTAGTCATATGAAATAAACCTGCCACTAAATACGAGTTTAGGGAAGTAAGGAAACTCATGAGGTCATTGTTGAAGCTGAATTTTCCTGTGAAGCTAAACAATGACAGTAATTACATCATCCCCCTATGATACCTCAAAATATTTCCACCTTTTGTGTCCTGTAATGATCATAAAACTGTAATTTCCAAACGAAATTTCTAATTTACTAGAATTCTATCTTGTGCATTGTTCGAGGGGTTTTGGTCGTGCAAAGTAAATATATAAAGGCTAAAATTGCTCAAATCATTAATTGATTTGATAAGCCTGTGGGTCCTGCGAGATTAAACTAAATTAAACAATAAAAATAAGACCAAGATAGTGGAAGAAGATGGTAAATCACAAAGCCCAATATAAACCAAATATTTCAAGTTAGAGCACTACTCATAAGCCAAAATACACAAACTGGCTTCCTATATATATGTATTTTAGATTAAAGACTATATAGATTATAAATGATTGCCAGAAGGTTCGTTTACAACACGACAAACTCTGTAAATTGAAAGGGGAAGAAAGAGGAAATCTGGCGATACAGATTGAGATTCTTATTTGTTCAATGCAATAATGTTCGTCAGTTCTGAAATATGGCTGTTTAAGATGTACAGGAAATTTTCCTCACCAAAGAAGAAAAATAAATTTCTAGACGCTCCATTATTCATGTGAACTATTCATACGGTTGCTTATGGGAACTAGTCATGGAGTTTTTGTTTAGAGAAAAAACTTTCCTTTGAAACAGCACATATGAATTACACTTACTCACCATGAAGCAAATGTTTTTTAATTCTAGCAAAGGAGTGCTTAGACTTTCTCTGACATCGGCAGTTTTATCAGTCGTCCAAGATTCCCCAGTTAGTGAGGACTGGCTGTTAAAAATAGAAGGAAAGTCATTAAAAGAACTTATCACTACTGTAAAAGAACTAAAAAAGGAAAAGGAATCTCAGTTAAAATACCTTACAACAAGATTTTTGGAAGATAACAATCTGACATCTCCGGGAAAGAGGTCCCCAGCTTCAAAAATCACGATGTCACCAGGAACTATATCCCTCTGATCAACTTGAACTACTAATTCTTGCTGCACAACTCTGCCCGCACATCTTTGAACTTTTATTGGGTATCTTAGAAATTCCGAAAGCTTCATGGCTGCTTTTGAACTGCTGTACTCCTATAAGTGACGTGGGAATTCAATACCAAGAATAGAAAGGAAGAGAAGATAAGCATTCGACCAACAAATGAATGTAGAAGTCACCTGACAGAAACGAAGGGAGACACTGATGAAAACAAGCGTGAGCATGATACTACCATTTGAAATGTCACTGGTTATGAAGGACAAGGATGACAAGACAATCAGAATGATATTGAAAGGATGAAAAAGTGCACTCCATAGAAGATGCCACCATCTTGGATAAGTACGCTCACGCAGAACATTTGGTCCATTTTCCTTCAGTCTCCTCTCTGCTTCAGAGAAACTTAAGCCTGCGTGCACCCAACCAAACAACTTCTTCATTGAGCGACTAAATTGGATTAACAGAGGCTTTAACTCGATGCTCCGACTTGTTTTATATTACAAGCAAGAGAGAACAATTGAAATGCATTAGGCGAAATTCAACATGTACCTACCTCTTTCAGTGGAACGAACGTACTCAAAGACCAAGTTTTTTTCAGAGCGAGCCAAAGCATATAACCATGAGTAAACTCTTTCTTCTTCCTCTGTCCTCGAGCCCCCATCAGCTTTCTCTGCAAGCGAACACAATAGGTTTTAAATTCAAAGAAAAAGTGAAAAATTAAAAATGCACTTCTCTCTCGCTCCCTCCAGTCTTGTCATTCCACACAAAACCAAACAATGAGAAGAAAGAATTAAAAGGAGGAACGAAAAGAACAGGGAAGAAGGGTTGAACCATACTTGCAGTGAAGAGGCGGCGGAAAAATCCCAAAACGGAGCGGGGAAAGCGTTGTTTGCTCGAAGCATTGGATTTTTCGATAAGGGTTTGTCTAATAGAGCGGGGAAGCATGTGGGGATTGTATGAAAGAAGAAGAAGAAGAAGAAAGAATTGGAATGTGGCAAAAGGGCACTGATGGGAAATGGATTGAGAAGAAAGAGCATATTGGGGGTTAGAGTTTGGATTGGAGATTTGGAATGGAGAGGGAAATGAAAGAAAGGGAAGACTGAAGAGTGAACTGTGATTCTGTTAGTTATCTCCAACTACCATACCACTCTAGACGGTTAGGTAGTGCTTTCTTCCCCGCCTCGTTCCATTTGCCTTCTTGTCTAATAGTCCTCTTGAAACAAACATTGTATTAACTAACGATTAGTATTTTATTCTCTTGACGAATTTCAGGGTCCTTTAGGTGAAGATTTTTTCTTTTTAAATTTCAAAATAATCAACGTGTATTCAATATATCAATATTTCGAATGAAAATATCTATGAAAGTTACGAAAAAACATACATAGCATTTTTTCAATAGTTTTTATATTGCTTTAGTTAATTTCATGATTTTTCTCATCCTCGTCTCTCACATTTAATAAAGGGATATTTTAAGAGAATTAATACACAATTTTACATAATAATGGAATATAACCAATTTAATTGATTTTTTTAAGGAAGAATTACAATGAGATCCCATGTAAGAAAAAAATTACAAAACAACTCCTAAAGATTGTTATTTTCCACTCTATAACTTGTTATTGCAGGCTGCTCAGGTTGTTATTAGACTTTTTAGTAGTTATTTCTCTTATGTGGGACTTGATTGCAATTCTTCCCTTTTTTTAATCTTCATAAATTAATTAAATATGTTTTGTATTTAATTCTATAAGGAGTAATATTTGGTATTTACAAAATGGATCATGTTTATTTCAGATTTTGTGAAAATGGATATGTGAACAATTTTTTTAATAACCCACTGATGGTCTCAAATATAGGACATCTTATAATTTTAAGAAATATTTTTCAATTTCTACTCCTATACTGATTAATGTATTCTGAGTGAGTAAAATAATTCCAAGGAAGCAAAATTTTTTTTAAAAAAAATAATATACTGGTTTGACTCAAGATATATACGACAAAATGATTGGTGTAGAACCATCATTATAAAATACTACCTCCGGTTTTTAATAGAAGACCCTGTTTGACTTTTATTTTAGTCCTAAATATAAGACCCCAATTTACTTTGTCTCTCATATTTATACATTTTATTTTCAAAGTAACCCTTCTAATAATGATAGTTCTAGTCAATATACTTGATTAGTAAGGATATTTTAGGAAAAACAATACCTATTTAGGACAAATAACTAACTCAACTTACTTTCTTAATATCCTCAAATTAGTCAACTGGTTCTTATAATTAGGACCGGAGGTAGTACATAAAGTTGGTACCAAAATATGGTATGATTAACTTATTATGAGAAGTGCAACTAATTTTCCAGATTTCATATGAGTTTAGTGGGTCAACTAGAACTACTTAATGAGGTACCTCGTACCAAAGCACCAATCCTGCCCCTACTTCCACTAAATTCTGCCCCTTTATTTATATAGAATTTGACCCAAATATATATACAGGGAAAATGACCCCTTGAAATTAGCAAGTTTTTGAAATTCAAGTGAAGAAAAAAACAAAAATATCTACATATTTAAAAAAAAGAAAAAAAAGAAGAAGAAAGTCAAGAGCCTCCTTTCGGGAGATCCTGCCGGTGGCCAGTAGTCAGTGGTGAACCACTTGCATCGTAAATTTAAAAGTAACTATGGAGCCACAAAATTTCATCAAGCAAAAAAAAAAGAAAAAAAAAACGTTGACTCCTTACTGAGGTTATTCACAACTTTTATATAGATATTAATTATATTTTATTAATTGTTAACGAGCTTCGTTTAGCAAGTAAAGGCCACTCTTTTAGATTATTTATAATTTTTGTACAAGTGTTGGCTACATTTCAGTAGATATTGACAACTTTTGCTTAGTAAGTAATAAGGTCAATCTTTCAAGTCATTTACGATTTTTATATAAATATTAACTATATTTTATTAGCTATTTACAAGTTTGTTTAGCAAATAACATGGTCACTCTTTCATGCTATTTACAACTTGTGTAGGTTATTCATTACATTTTATTAGCTATTAATAATTTTTGTTTGGCAATTAAAAAGGCCCTTTTTTAAGGTTATTAGCAACTTTTGTTTAGCAATTCACCACATTTCATTAGCTACTTTTAGTATCCATTTAGATTCTAAAACTGCATGTTGTACGCAACGACGTAGACTGACACAATTCTTATATGTGTGTATGTGTATGGATAAGTGGCCAAAAAAGGAAGCAGAATCAGGGGAGAAGGAATTCAAAGAAGTAATGAAAGATAACATGGTACTAGAGACAGGTTGGTATAGATATATAGCTGGGCTTGCAACTCGGAGGTTGTGTGTATCGCAGATCGATGATGATAATAATAGTATTGAATTCAGTGCTCTAAAATATTTTTCGAAGTACAATTAGCATATTAAAATATTTTATAGTGCATCTAGCATCTCAAAATATTTTTTAGATGTGTCTAGCATTATGAAATTTTTTTTCCTTCATGCTAGTCTAGTACTAAAAAATATTTTTAGATGCTGAACGCATTTAAAAAATACTTTGAGGTACTGAATGCATCAAAAAATATTTCACAGTGTTGGCCACATCTAAAAAAAATTTTCAGAGTGCTGATGCACCACAAAATATTTTAAAATGTTAGATGCACCCAAAAAAATATTTCGGGATACTAGATGCACCTTAACCTATATATATATAATGCGCGCAAATGTAAAGAAATAGACCACTAATCATTAAAGGAATTGGATCTTAAAACAAACAAAAACAAGATTAGTCACTCACAATATAATGGACCAATATTCAAATCTCTAGTAGGAGAAATGCCACAATATTTGAAGATGTCTCAAATACATCACCTCCAATTTAAAAAACATACCTGTATATGTCAAAAAAGGGAAAAAAAAAAAAAAGACAGACCACTAACGCCACATTATAAATATTATTGCACAGCACATGTACCTAGAGCCGGTAGTCAACCGGCCAACGTACCATAAGGTGACGGATTGGATTGAAGAAAATAGAAATCATTTTGATGCGGTTCTTTGCAACCCGCATCCGCCAACTCACAGTCTACCACAGGTTAGCTTGCCAACCTGCTAACTTGTTTTTTATTTTTTAAAAATTTTTATTTTTATTTTGGTAAGAAAAAGTTATCATTTTTACTTAATTTACATATAATTTTGTATTTTGTTAAAAACTTTAATTATAAATTTGATTTCTCATTTTTTTTAATTATTTTACCCAACAATTAATAATGAATTATATGTTTATATTTCAACTTGTGAAACTAATTTAATTATATAATTATATAAAAATATGAAAAATTTGATCTGTAAAAATTTATAATTTAATTAAAAAATTTTAAAAAATATATAAAATTTTAAAATAAAGACAGAGGTTGGCAGGTCTCTTGACGAGGCGGGTTGGTAAAATAAAGCCCGGCAAGAGACAATCTTTTTAGGACTTGCTTGAGCCCACGGCAGGTGTACCATTGTTAAAAAAACACTTGAACACAATCTATATATTTAATGACGTAGCTGTGGTCCCATCTATTATTACTAAAAGTAAATTACTCCGGAGTCCCTTAGAAATTAGAATAAGTCATTCCATCATTGAAGTCTTAATTAAAGTCCCTTTATTATAATTAAGTTTCCAAACACAATTACTAAAATGCTTTTTATTTTTCCCTATATTAAAATTACATCCACCCACTGCCGGCGGCATTGAAGCCATTGCTGTCAGTCTAGCCATCGTCAATGGTTATCGGAGCCCTATTACAAATGGCCGATATGAATTTAAACCCACAACCCCTTATCTCACAAAAAAAAAAAAAACAAAAACAAAAACATAGCTAGCCACTAAACCATTAAAACCTTCTTCTTTTTTTGTGTAATCACCCGGTATCCTGAGCCAGATTATCTTTCAAACATAACAATGAGTTCAGACTAATCCAAATCGAGGCATGACAGAAATTATTAAGGCTGGGTCCTTGTCCTAGCCCCCAAAACGTTGGATTCTCACGTCTCGAACTCAAAACTCGTGGTTAAGCTAGAATATACCCTAACCAAGTGATCTAATCGTTGGGGTTAACCCATTAAAACCTTTTAATCATAAATAATGCAAAATTTTAAAGACTAGGTCTACAGACAACAATCAGATGATCGAAATGCCCTTGATAGGAACATAAATATTTCTCTCGAGTCAGAAAATTTTTCATCAAAATATATATTACCTTCTATGCCAATTATAATACCTCGTTTATAGACTATAAATGAGGTTTTATAATTAGAACTGAAGGCAGTACTTACATTTATGCATGGCTAACATGATTTTAGAGGCACGTTTTCCTTGAAAATGTGAATACATGTTCTGAAATTTTTGTGTGAAACGGAGTTTTTCTGAACAATGTTACAATTGTATCCTTAAAACTTGTTGATTACAAACACAAAATAAAGTCGCATATCACGCTAGAATCTTTCTTACACATCGTTGAAACTTCCTTAATTGCACACATTGAAGCTTTCTAATCACACATGTTGGAGATTTCTCTTACACGCGCTAATATACATCATATACACACACTTGGCTGCTATCTCTACAAAAACATTCCAACTACTTTACAAGATATTAGATTCGATACTTAATATAAAACCCAATTGACTAATTTAAGAAAATTAAAAAAACTAAAAAATTACTTGATTATATAACATATGTTACATGATCTCTCTAAAATACTTACGCGTATATCATTAGATTATATATTAGTTTATAAATGAAATAAATTAGTTTAGAGAAAAATAAAAAATACAATATTAAGAACCGGAGGTAGTAGTCATTTTTAGTTAAGAAAATCATCTGATCCACACGGTTATCCTAATAATATTTTCGTTTGATCTCCATCATGATGGAGACATAAGATAGTATCATCTTAAATAATATACAAGATCTTCTATAGTGTCACAACAAATTAACATTGCGCAATGTTAAAAATTATTATCAGACTGTATCATACATAGATAATTAATTATATATTTTTATTGATATATATATGGATTGATATGGTCGAGGAAATCTTGCTGTAATTAGCTAAAAACCAAAGGTAACATGCACACCAAACAGTTTTCTGCATTCTGCAAAACGAAAATTTTAATGTCTCTTACTAGAGAAAACGACAATAAAATATAACAGACCTTGTCTCCAACATTGTCACAGTTAATTATAAAATTAAAACAGAAGCCATTAGCCTTAACTGGAAAATTTTCTCGGAAAGAAAAAAAGTAAAGCTATTTATAAATTAAAATAGAAGCCACTTGAATTTGAATCACTCAATTCCTTTCTGGAATTCACATCGGTAATATATAATTTCAAAGAGAGACACACAAAATAAAATTGTGCCACTCAATACATTAATTAAATCATGAATCATTTAGAAGAACAATAAGTTCATCCAAAAAAGAAAACACTAAGCTCCTCACCAATAATGCTTCCCTCAGGATCGATTAAATGGAAAGATTCACAATTGGTAGATTCCGATCGAACTCGTCGAAAATTAGCTCTCAGATACAGAACTTCATCATCATCATCTTCTTCTTCTCCTCCATCCAGCTTCTTCTTCTTCCTCTTCTTCTTCTTCCCTGTCATAATTCCAGCACCTGCAACAACCTTCCGCGTCAACCTCAAAACTTCCATGTCCACACTCTCAGGCTTGCGCTTCACTGCGTAGCCTTGCTTCTTCCCGTTGCAGTACAAAGCCCAGAGAGGGATCGATAAAACCCTACTACTGCAACAACAGCAAGATCTTGGAGTAATACTTGCTCTCTGTAACACCATTCTCAGTGTTCCTCCTCTCATTTGCCTTGCCAGCACAGTCGTCGGAATCGGAAGGTGAAGAAGAAGAAGTGGGGTTGGTGAACTCGGCTTCTCTTGAATACACAAGTTGGCATTCCCATGGCGATATCCAAATATAGTGCCGGAAATTACAGAGGAACACGACGAAGACAAGGCCGTGATCATTGAGCTGGGATTATGATCAGCTTCTGGGTTTAGATATTGATGACGTTGGTCCAACAAGGAGGAAGAGTTGCAGGTGGGGATTAGGACTTGGATGAGAGAACGTAAGAGCCTCCATGATCGGACCTGTTTGTGGCACTCAACTCCAGTGACGGCGTCGGCGGTGGGGTAGCCCATGGTGTTATAATTAGTTTCTGGTTTAATTTCTTTCTCGATGATTTCTGTTTATTGTGAGTGTGTGTGTATATATAGGCAAAAACACAAATATGAAAAGGTGGAGAGGTGATTTAAAAATCTGGGTGTGTCGTCCACAAAAATGGTGGTACGTAATTGAATATTATGATTGAGTTGTTCTTGAGGATACGTGTACGTACGTGGAGCATGGAGCAGCCATAGCTTAAAAAATGGAGGCAATAATTTAGGGTATCATGGTCGTGTTTGTGTCGGACTTTGTTTCTGGTTTCAGCTGGAAAGCTGAAAAACAGAGATCTGCTAATTCTCTCCCATAAAAAAATGTAATAATTTTTAGTTTTAAAAAAATATTAAGTAGGATCATACACTATCGTGATCAATTTTTTTGGCAGGCACAAGGGTATCCTCTTATTAAAAGCAATTTTATCCAAAGTATTATCCAATAATAAATGTAGTACCTCTATCATGAAAATTTCTAATTTTGATTCACCATGCTGTAATGAGATACTAGATCCTTCCATCTAGTGTTGTTCCCTGAAATTTCCAATTTTATTTAAATTTTAAATTTTAGTGCATGTTTAACTTGTACATTACTCCCTTTAGTCAGTCTTCTTAATTGTAAAAGTTAAATAACTCATTTATGAATATTAAAAAATTAATTAAATTAATTATCTATAAAAAAATGTGTGTTATTTTTTTCAATATGTCCATTTAATTATTTGCCATGAAAACTAAACTACGCTTATATGAAAATATTTCCTTAATATGTTTAATCAATAAATAAGAATAGTTTGGGGGAAATTATAATTTTAGGAGACAAAATGAATTGCAATATTGAGATATTGTATTTATAATCAAAGCAAGTCTTTCAAGTAGCTCATGTGTTATGGATTAATTATACGTGACATTGAAATATATAATGTGGCCTTTTTTTCACTCAATTATGAGAGAGGCATATATAGTCTTTCTGGGTTGATGTGTGTGGATGATAAAAAGGAAACGTAGTTGATGATAATATGTGGAGTTTTTTTGTGCTCTTTCTTTACTTCTCATCATTTGATGGCCCCTACACAGAAAAATTGACAAGATTAATTAACCCTAAAAAAAACTTCATGTAAATATTTCATTAATTAAAATGAAATTAATGAAATATTTATATGAAGTATATATAAATTAAATTGAATTATATCCATTTTATTATATTGTATGTAATTATATAAATATTTCATTAATTAAAAGAAGGCAATAGTATATATTTGTTTCTTTAACTTTATATAATGTTTCAATTTAGTCTCTTAAGCTTAAAAACGTATATTTTTAGTTCTTCAATCCTAAAATTATTGATCTTAAATGATATTTTTTTGTAACAATCATGATTGTTTTGAAAATTAAACTTAATATATTAATATTTAAAAACATTTTGTTAATATTTACAATCTCAATATCATCATTTTTTAAACAATTTTAGAGTTAAAAAACTAAACATATATTTTTTACATTAAGAAATCAAACTAAAAACTTGTATAAAATTAAAAGATTAAAATTATATTTTTGCCACAAAAAAAAAAAAAACTTGACACAGAGAGACTCGCATATATCACCCATTGTTCGATGAGAAAGTGGCATTTTTCATGGTTGCTAGTCTTTGGAAAAAGTCCCTTTCCAGAGTCTTCTCTCAAGAGTGATGGGTGTTGAGTCTCGTCTGGTGCTGGTGTTTGTTCACAGCACCTCCCTCCCTCTTTAAATTTCTAATAACTGTTATATATGTCTAGCTAATTCTTCAATCGCTCATAACATATGTCTTATTTTTTTCATATAAAATTTATAATTAAATTACTATATAAAAAATGGGACACTTAACAAAGTATAATTTTTAAAAAAAAATTAATATAACGATTGCAACTTGCAAGGAACTTAATCGAAGTTTTATCCTTTGTGCAGTTTTTTTTTTTTCTGTTTTCCCTGGCTTTTGATTGGGTCTTCTAACGAAATAATGTTTACTCATCTTAATTTGAAATCAATGGTAACCATGAAAAGTGGTGAGGATGAGTTCAATCTGTTGTCAAAGAATGAACAGCAATGGACCCGTCTTAACAATGCTTTTGGAGCCAAAAGTTGTGTAAATAAGTTATAGAATTAACAACCCACTCTAAATCCTATATTTAAGTTAAGCCCACGAATCCTTCTCTAAAATATTGGAAGCTTGATGATACCTTTAGGGAGTAAAATGATACAGAAGGTTTTCCAAGTTTTGAAAGAGACATGTTTGAGATGGAAGCATGTCCCTAAGATATGTAAACTGGCCTAACAACACTTTTCATATTGGGAAGTCACCTCCCTAAGTTGTACAAGGAAGATTAGAATCACATAATATATTTCATGCAAACTGAAATATTATTAGTCACTGAATTTTATCACTAATTTTCTTTTTTCTTTTCTTGTAGTGAAGAAACCTCTTTTATATGTGTTTACTGTAATATCACTTATGAAAAACTAATATAAATACCCTTGGTGTCATTATTAGTTTCTTAGAAACACTTTTACGCAAGTCATCTTAGATACTGATACTTATCTCATATAATGTAAAATTATTTTCAAAAACTTAAGCCTCTCTAAGGTGCATGGAGAACTTGAGAGAGCACAACTTCCATGTAAAAGGGACTTAAAATGATGTCATATGAGATGAAATTTGAGAGTGTTTAGTTCACCTAAAAAATGCTTTTAAAACATGATTTCATATAAATCGAAACAAAATTCTTCTCATATACTTAGTGGTGTTTGATTTAACCCAAAAGCACTTTTAAAAAGTATTTTCATACAAATCGAGACAAAACTCATCATATACTTACTTTGTATATCATAAAATAACTTTTAAAACTATGGTTCAATTTTCACCCAAACATTCCACTTCATATGCTATAAATTATTTTTAATTACCCAAATACCCAATCAAAAACAATTATATGATATATTTCTTTGGGTCCAAAAATTGTATAAAACCTAATTCAAACACAATTATAAATAGAGGTATGGGAAGTTTAACATTGGTTTAACAATAAAATTATCTACTACCTCTAGTCCTTAATATAGCTAACTAAGCTAGATTAAGAAAATTAGTTAAGTTAGTTATTTGTAATAAATATGTGTTGTCTTTTTTAAAGTATCCTTATTAATCAAGGATGTTGGCTATAACTACTATTAGTATAAGGACTACATTGGAAAAAAATGGATAAATATGATAGACGAAATAAATTAGAATCCTATATTTAGAACCAAAATAAAAGTCAAACGAACTCTTATATTAAGATTGGGGGTAATATTAATTAAGGAAATTCAAACTCTTTCAACACAATGAATAAATATTTGAAATAAATTGTTAACGCTAATTCACAATCAATTTCCACCATCTATGAAAGTTATGAAAATGGCAAGAAGAGCATTGGGAGGAACAATAGGTTAGGGTACCGGCGCGGAACCTCTTCATTGACCAGCCTCTCCATTGAGCATCCATTTATATAGAACGTAGTGTTTTACATCTTTTTTTTATAAAAATAATAAACTATTACATAGGGCAGCATTTAAACATTGTCTTCTGACTTCAAACCTTCAAAGAGACAAACCATGATACATAGCACAGTATTTAAATGCTGTTTTCAAGGGGGAAAAAATAAAAGCAATATTAAGAAAATAACGAACTATTACACCACTTTTTTTTAAAGAAAATTGGGAATAAATCTCTCATTAAAAATTTAATTAGCAAATGAAATCTAAGGACTTTGTGCAACTTAACTTCTATTTTGCAATTTATCTTATATTTTGTGCAATAATCTTTTTTTTATGCGATATACAACTCAATTTCTTTTTATGCAAATAAAATTCTCTTATGTGCAAGTCATCTTCTTTATATGCAAACTAATCCCTTATATCTAAATAATGTTTTATGCAAATCATATTTTTTTTGTGCAACTTACTTTCCTTTACGTACAACTAATCTTTTCTTGTACAATCAATTATCTAGAGATCATTTGCCAATTAAATTTGTAATGAGAAATTTATCCCCAATTGTTTTTTTTTTAAAAGCAATATTACTCTGCCAAGTGCTTTAATAAAATGCACTGGAATTGGTGTATTTGAAATAGGAGGGCTATATTGCATTGGCAATGATGCACATGACGTAACAAAGCCATTTGCATTTGAACTGGTATTTTTGATATAGGGGGGCTATATTGCACGGATACTGGTCTGCATGACATAACAGGACCATGTTGCACTAACTATGATGTAGGTTTGTCATGTTGTACTAGAGTTGATGAGCTAACTATTTCCAATGTACTTTGAGTCTCCTACAACAACATTAAAAAAAATCTCATTAAAGAAACATGAGGTTATATTGCTATTTACTTAAAAAAAATCAATGTAAAAATTTTTTGCCTTTCAAGATTGCGAGGGCTTATTACTAAACTTTTTCGAATTTTTAATTTTTTCTCTTTTCATATTAGGCTTGTCAACCCAACTTTTATCAATCTTTTTGCGTTCTCTCTTTTTGAATCTAATGCCTTGACCATCATTCTTACCATCATCATTATCAACATCACCTTCATTGGTAACACCATTTGATGAGTATTTAATAAGAAGTGAAGATACTTTACTGCTAAGTTTTAGCACTGCTTGATGAACCATAGAGAATGTTTCTAGACACTCAGATGCATCCCTTGCTAATTTTATCGGCCTTAGACACAATTGCTTATATCGATTTGAACATTCCAATTTAGGATCAACCTCAATTTCCTTTCCCTTGTTATCATACACCACACCTCGCTTCTTTTGTCCACCTCTTTGAAATATACTTATACGGAAGTAGCTTGATATCATGGTAATATAATATATATTCTCAGTGCATGACAACATAATATTCCCTATTGTTCAAACTTCTCATAACTACAAGTAATTGTAGCCTCCTTTTCTTCTCTTGGTGGTTCAAGTGT